GAAGAAAGAACTTTGACTTTCAGACAGATATGTCAAGTCTATCTGCTTTTATGGGTGGATCCTGACCCTCTATACAGTGAAATACCAAAGTAACACCAGCAAATTGGAATATTCTCTTCCCACAATGTGGGCCAGATGCCCTGTGGACGGAGGTCACCTGTGGTTTTGGTAAAAAGAAATTCTATTGTCAGCTTCATGATCTTAAGGTTCATGCAGAAGGTCAGGAATCAGAAAAGAGAAAGCAAGAATACAAGAGTTTTTTCTGCATTGTAGCTACTTCAATTCTAAGCAATTATTTTTTAAAAAACATAATTGCAGTGCATAAGAAAAAAAAGAATTATTCTTTTCTACACCATCCAGTTTTATTTGTATGCCATCATACCTCTTAGAAATCTCCCATTCCTTATCTAAATTTTGTAAGCTTTCCTAAGGCCAGGCTGCCTCCTAATGTCAGTACTTATTTACTTATCAATCTTCCTAAGTAGGTTATGAGTTCCTGGAAGCCAGGATCAAATGTTTTACCAAATTTTATGTATATCACAACTTTGGGCTCAACAAATTGCATAGAATTGTCTAATGCATTTTTGACAGTTTTCTCAGTATCTCTTATGCAATCTTTGTAGAAAGTGGCAGCAGCAACAACAACAACAATGACAACAAAAAGATTAGGGGCAGAACTCTCCCTAGTTTAATGAACATATTTGAATTTACTCATTGGCTCCATTTTAAGTATACTTGACATAATGTTCCAAGGATAAAGGTACCTGTCCTGTGACCTATGTACTGACTTAGCAATTACAGATTAATTACCCATGAAGAAGCATTGTGACTTCCCTTAAGTGCATGTCTTAATCTGTAAACGAGGCTGCTAGATAACATCAGATGCTTGCAAGCTCCAAGTTTCCCTCATTCTATCTGGTTTGATCCATTGTTCAATATTTTCTTCTGCCTCTGTTTCCTCTTTCCTTCCCTTCTCTACTTACTTTTAATATACAACATCTCTGTCTTTGTGGAGTTTATATTATACTGATTATTAGTGCAAACAAAATAAACATATGATTACACAATGTGGGGGAGGCAAATAGGGCCTGTATAGTACTAACAGAATTCGACAGTTTGCAGTGATAAATTAACCATGTTCTAAGCCAGATGAATTTGGCTTTTCTTAAGCTCCTCCTTGATGTGTACAAAAATTATTTAAAAGCAGCAAGAAATTCAAATTTTATTAACCAATTTATGAACATAGAAATTTCCCTTTTTCTCTTTTTTTCTCAACTTTGCTTATCAATTTTTATTAGTACTTGTTTCTAGTATATAATGATTATATCCATTGTAGGGAGTTGATATATGTATATAACATATCTCAATTCTTATTTTCCCTTTCCCTCTACCCCATTTTATTTTGCCAGTATCCGATTCATGTATCTTATAAATTCTTATAAAGTTAACTATCATATATGCAGATTAACAACCAGGTTAATAGCTCCCCGAAGAAATAAAACATCTAAGACAATTATAATAAATCAAGGTACATTTTTAGATACATTGCTCATGCTGAATTACATTGACATTTTTTCTCTCTTTTTTCTTATTGTCTTTTATTTCACCTTTTATTTATATATCAATTTTTCATATAACTGAAACCATGCAATATTTAAGCTTGTGTGTCTGAGTTACTTCACTTAAGGTATATCTGTTTTCATATAAATGACTCAAATTTATCCTTCATTATCTACAATAGTATTCTATTCTATATAAATACCACATTTTCTTTATCCATTCATCTGTTGATAGATATACAGGTTCTTTCCAAGATTTGGCTACTATAAATACAAACATGGGTATGGGTATGAGTATGGGTATACATCAGTGTATGTTGTCTTTAACCCTTTTGGGAAGATACTTAGAAGGGGAATAGCTGGGTCAAATGGAATTTCTATTTTTAGTTTTTTGAGGAATTTTCATACTGATTTCCATAGTGGTTGTATCAGTTTACACTCCCATGAACAATGAAGTGTTCCTTTTTATTCACAGCCAGCATTTGTTATTGGTTGATTTCTTGATGATAGCCATTCTTTCTGGAGTGAGGTCGACTCTCAGTGTTGTTTTAATTTTCATTTTTGAATGACAACTGGTATTGAACATTTTTTCATGTATTTATTGGCAGTTTGTATTTCTCCATTTGTGAAATGTCTATTCATTTCAAATGATCAGTTTTTAACTGTCTTTAAATTTCTGGAGTCTAAATTTTGAGTTCTTTATATAGTCCAGATCAGTGGTGGCACACATGTTTTTGTTTTTTTCTTTTAAGACAAAAGGTATTAATGTATGAGTTGTTTTTTCTAAACTAAAACCTCAGTATTCAGTTTTCATTGCAGTGTTGATACTATGCAATAAATAAGTGGGTTTGAGGTTGTAATTTGACAGTCTCTAAAAGGTTTTCCATCACTGGTCTAGATGTTAGTCCTTTGTCTGAGGAGTAGCTGGTTGTTATTGCTTGTGTCTAGATTTTCCCCCAGGCCTCATGCATTCATAGAGATTTTTCATAGGTGGCTGGATCTAGTGTATGATGCTGGGATTAAGAATATATGATTATGGGCAGGGGATTTAGCTCAGTGGTTCCAGCGCCTGCCTCACAAGTGCAAGGGCCTGAGTTTGATTCCCAGTACCAAGAAAAAAAAAAAGAATATATGATCACTAAATCAGTCCACTGATTGGTTTGGCACCTGCCATAAGCCGATAGCCTAAACAGAATATAAAAGGGGCAGAAGGAAGCTGCTAAATTCATTTGGATTTGTTGCTTGTAACTCTGCCTTCTGCCTGCTATGAACTGTTTCTTCTCTGCGATGCCTTTCTGCCATGCCACCCTGCCTTGGAGCCAGCTAACTGCGAACTGAAAACTCTAAAAACCGTCAGCTAAATGAATTTTTCCTTTCTCAACTTTGGGTGTCACGTATTTTGTCTCAGAAATGAAAAAAGTAACTAAGACACTGGTAAAAATTTTTTTCCCATTCTGTAGGTTGCCTCTTTACTCTGTTGGTTGTTTCCTTTGCTGCTTTTAATTTGATGTGATCCCACTTATTGATTCTTGGTATTATTTCTTGTCCAACCAGAGTTTTGATCATAAAGACTTTGATTACACTCATGTCTTCAAGATTAAGTGTTTCTCCCTTCTAGCAGATTATGTGTTTCTGTTCTAATATTTAAATCTTTGATCCATCTTGATTTTAGTTTAGTGCTTAGTGATAGATATGGGTGTAGGTTCATTTTTCAGCATATGGAAATGCAAGCTTCCCAGCACTGTATGTTAAAGCACTATATGTTAAAGAGGCTATTTTTCTTCCAGCAAAAGGATTTGGCCCCTATGTCAAAGACAATGCAGCCAAGTGTGCCTGGAGTTATCTCTGTATCCTCTATTCTGTTCCATTGATCCATGAGTCTGTTTTTTGCCAATACTATGCTATTTTTTTTTTAATCACTGTAGCTTTGAAGTATAACTTGATGTCTGGGATAATGATGTCCCCTTGTTGCCCAGAATTACTTTTGTTATTCTAGGTTTCTTCTGCTTCCATATGAGAAATTCCCCTTTTTGTGAAGAGGAAGCTCAAGAAAATGATGTTATAGACCATCAAAAGTATGCACTATGAAAATTGTTCTAATCTTTTCTCAATCAGGTGTGTGCATGTGTGTGTTTAAACATATATACAAAAACTCTAGGAAGATCATTGGATCCTGCCTCTATATTTACATCGATTCGTGATGTTACAGAATATCACTGAATTTTGTAGACAAGGAGATGAAATAAACTACATTTATCTAAGGATAGAATCAATAAAACATGGAACTCCATAGTTTCCCAGTCTAGTGTGTGGATGTACAAATGTATATTCATGTTGATAGGCCAACTGGAAAATAAAGGACCAGCAGATTTATCCTCTATTTTCTAAGTGATGCTCCAGTTACTGTAATCCAGCTCTGTTCTCTAGCTGTGACTGATTAATTGCAAGGCAGAGGCATATATGAACAATCAATTTAGCTGTCATTGGGATTTGAACTTGAGCAGACACATCTAGAAGATAGGTGTCCAGGTGACATTTTTAAAGAGGATAATGGTCAACACTGCCTTGGCTACACTGGGTTTACTCCATCCCTAGCAAGATCATGTACATTTTTACTCCAGCTTTGGTCACCGGAATGATCAGACTGTAAAGCGTTTTTCAAAGTTACTAGGACTTCCATCATGTCTGTTCTTAGTTGAAAAGTAGAGGGGAGTTATCTGAACCTTGATAGTAAAAACTAAGAGAGTATAGGTTAGTGAAACATGCAAGGTAGATCCAGTCTAAATTGCTTTCTACTATAATCTTTGAATTTCTTCTCTTATGTCAGACTAAGGGCTTTTGGACTTTAACTAGCATGGGTCATCTTTTAATCTAGTTTTGTTTTAAAACTGAATCAATATATTGATAGAACCATAGTTTGCTGCCTAAAAGCTATTGAATTACAAATCTCTATGCATAATATTCACTTGTAGCAGTGAATTAATCCTCATCTAAAATCATACTTTGCTCTTTAGGATTAAGTGCTCTCAGAATACCCATCTATAAATCCCCATTTTAAATGGTATAAAATTTAAAATCTATGAAACATCTGGGTATAACTGTAATTTTGTATTTCACCAACAAAGGCAATAGCAGAGCTATAGTGTTAGGATTGGGCAAATTTTACATCTTTACACCAATAAAGTCATAGTGGGTACATTTCAGAGCAATTTGAGGGCTCTGGAGTCTCCATATCATATGAATGGTCTTAGTCATCCTTATTTCAATGATCAAGATTCCCTTAATTTCCTATCAATATTATCTGTTTTGTATAAAAGAATTATTGAGGTTACAAATTTAACTAACATTGTAGTTCAACAACCCGTGGATTTATTTTCTGTTTTTGACTATTAGCAGCTTAGTCTCTATGACTACAACTGATTCTTTTTTTTTTTTCTTCAGAATGTTAACATACAGGAACCAAATTTCAATCTAAGGCTTGAGGTAAGATTTTTAAGATTTGAGTGTTCTCTCACTTTATATAACCCCATGCCACTGGATATAGAAAAATACTGCTATGCCCCTGGGATTTTCCACCTAATGTTATTTCTTCTATTACCTGAGTCAATGCCTTGGTTGGCTAATGCACTGCTCCATTCTGTGGGCTAGTACTTTCCCAATCTGGAAAATGAGGAGGTGCACCCATGCTTTATGCTTCAAACAAATTTCCAAAAGTTTGGTTTTTCTGAGGGCCTGCAGCTTTTGCCCTCCTAGTATCTACTTCTGTATTTATTGAGGTGTTTGTTTCCTCTCTTCTCTCTGCAGGCTTTACAGTGCCAGGTGACTTTCCCAAGGTGACCCTTGTGATGAGATGAAGGCTTCAGCTCTAATATTTGTCCTCATTCCAGCAGTAGGAAGGACATGTCCAGAAGATTTACACTTGTTTTTGTTAACATTGCATTGACCAGGGCTCAGACCTGCTTCTGTATTGCTAGGAGATATGGTGAGCAATGTACCTTCAGTTCTGGGACACTGTGCTCTGCCTATGTATTATGGGGAAACCTATGAATTTGTAAGAAGGGAAAACATCTTGAGAGAAAAGTAGCCATTTTGCCACCCACAGGATTCTTCTGACTTTCACTTCTTTGAAACAATCTGGTTTTTCCCAGTGTTAAATATAGAAGGGCTGAAGGGAGGGCAGGGGAATGGGGAAAAAAAAATAAGAACCAAGATGTATCATGTAGAGGTTTCCAATGATGAATGTCATCATATTGTATAACTAAAATGTACCAATAAACTTAATGAATAAAAAAATATGTTTACTCTGAAGTCTGCAGGAGTGTGACTCCTGAAAATATGTTGATACAATGGTTTGTCATTTAAATTTTATCATATTATAAAATTTGGCTGAAATCAGAAATAGGATCAAAATATTATCAGTATTAAAAAACACACAAAACCTTAAATTTCTACATAAAATTTTTTATATCTCACCAATAAATGGAAAATCCATTATCATTTCCCATAAATAAGAAATCACAATATACATGTATACCTATAAATAATTCTAGACCTCTGACTTCTCCATATGCCAATTTTCCTGTTTAGAGAAAAGCAAGTCTAAAAGTTCTTGTTTTATGTAGATTTATTTAATTCTCCCCTTTTCTTTCCTTTCTTCCTTTTATTTCCTTATTTTTATGTTACCCAGAAGTTTTAAATTTTTCTTTCAAAAATGTTATATATTTAAATAAAAATGATATACTTCTGGATTAAAGCAGCAAATACAAAGGACACCCAGACCACCTGAGAATGGCAGTGTTTCCAATCCCAGTCATTTTCTATGATTGTCTTCCCACTCTATCGTTCTGCCACTCCCACAGTGGAACTATTATACTGAATTTGGTGTTTATCTTCTCAGGATTTTTTCTTATATACTTATGTGTCCCTAAACAAAATAATTTTTTTAAGTTTTATTAAATGTTATATACTATATTTGCACTCAGGTTATTTTTCTTATTCTTTAGCTCTCTCAAAATTTCCTTTGAAAACAAAAATTTCATTAATATGATTGTACATTTATATCATAGAAAAAATATATAGGGGCTATAGTCAAAACAAAAGGATTATTATTATTATTATTACATATTTTTTGGTACTGGGGATCGAACTCAGATCCTTATGCCTGTGAGGCAGGTGGCAGAACCACTGAGCTAAATCCCTGGCCCAAAAAGATTATTTTTGAGCTGAACTTTTGTACCACTTCATGTTTTCTTGGAGTTTTTTCAAGGATATCTTGTGATGTCATGTATAGATATTTAAATACAAACTATATAAGTTATAATTAGGTGAAAAGGCATAGCAGTAATGGAGAAAATTAGACTGGCCTGCTTAAGAAAAGGGGCCAGCTTTGATTAGGTTGGACATGAGCTAAGGTCTGGTTGATGACTATGTCATTTCTGGTTCTGCATAGTGGCTCCAGAGAAGTCCTTATCACTTGAAGGGCAATCCTATTGCAATGAGTTAATTTCCCCAGCTTGAGAGGCAGTGTTAGTTCCTGTTGTGGAGTAATTTGTAATTTATCCCACTTAGGGGTTGATCTTCTGGGATGCTCTGTCTGCAGGCTCTACTGTTTCTGGAATCCAAGCTGACTACAGGTTTAGGGCAATGACTAGAGTCTTCTAGGCTCTAAGGGGTCTAACAGAACATTGTAAAACCTGGCAATTGATCAATCTTGCAAATCTTGAGAATGCTTGGTGTCCCCAGTGTTGAAAGGGAAAGAGATAGTTTAAGTAAATTAGGGATAATGAACCTTGTAATGCCAGCCTTTAGAGAGACACTCCATAACTGACTCACATGCCTTACATGTAGAGTGAACCAGGAATCTGACCCAAAGTTTAAGATACTAAAGGAGGCAGATGCAAAATGAAGGCAGAGGTACAAAGCTTTATTCTTTTAGTTACCCTGTGGCCATCTGCAGGCCCAAGTGAAGACTCAGTGTTTTGTTTTGTTAGCAACTTGAGTGGATTAAGAAAGCCTAACCAATTATTAAAGCACAGTTCTGGGTGTGGCTGTGGATGATCAGCTCGTGGTCAGCAAATGGAGGGGGAAGACCCACCTATTGTAGGTAGCACTAATCCCCAGCCTTGTAGCCTGGATGGAATAAAAAAAGCGGAAAGTGTGCCAATTTTGAAGAGATTAACTCTTACTAAGCAGGTATTTCTTTCGCTACAGATGCCTTTTGCCCCCAGCTTCTAGCTTTTTTCCAATGCGACTCACAATGGATATCCTCCAGTTTCCTTCTAGGCCTTCAACCTTATACATGTACTCCATTTCTGATCCCCTTTCTTCTGTGGCTTCCATTTTCTTGAGCTGAGCAGCTACTGTATCCTTTACTCTCCAGTGTTCAAATAGTCATTGTGGACTCTCCTGCTTCTAGTCCTGTAAGCCTAATACATTTCCTTAGATAATTACCCATATATTTTCTACTAATACAGACTTCTAATACAGTCCATGACTATCTCAATTTTCCATAAAAATATTTTCTTATTTGTAGGGAAATGAATGGAACTTGAGGGCATTGGTGTAAGTGAAAGAAGTCAGACATAGAAAGCCAAACTGTATATATTCTGTCACATGTGAAAGTTAGAAAAAGTCTACTAGAATAAATAATAGTAATTATTAAGAGACTGAGAGTGGTCAGGGTCAGGAGGGATGGATGGAGCAAAGCAAAGGTAGGTAGAAATAATACATTCTAGTGTTCTACAGGACAGTGGAGTGACTATGGTTCACAAAAATTGAGATTTCCAGAGTGTATCATGCAGCTATGTTAGTAAAATGTTTGTATGAGAGTGCTAGTAATTTATACAGTATTTAGTATGGGCCAAATACTGTCCTAGGTACTTTATCGTATTTATTCACAGCTGTCATTTCATGTAGATTCTATTATTATTTTTTCATATTTTCAGGTGGGAAAATTGAGGCAAGGAGAGGGTGTGCAATCTGTTTAAATTCACAGAGCTCTGATCAGAGTTTGGCTCCATAATCAAGGACCTTGATAGTTGGAGTCTATAATTCAGACTCTGTGGGCAATAGTGAGCCATAGAGATTTTTGTGCAGAGGTTAATGGTATGTATAGATTTTTGTTTTGGGGAGATTAGGCTTCTACCCATGGGCAGAGCAGATAAAGAGACAAGGAATGAAGTATCAGCTCAGATATGGTAAAATGATCCAAAGGAGAATTAATATGAACTCTGACTGAATGAGAAATAAAGTCTTGGAGGGATTATGTGAAACTCTAGTGTCTTTATCCATAGTATATATTTAGGGTAGAACAAAAGAGAAGGCAATTGTTATGGTTTGAATCTGAAATGACAGAATAACTAATCTGGCACAAGAAATTTCAAGATAGCATGGTATTAATGCAGTGGGCATGGGTATTGCTGGATATTTTCTGCCAGACTTATAGTGAGAATCACAAGCAAAAAGCCAAATAGAAATATCTGAAAAACTTGCAGTTTTGCTAGAAAGGCACACACTTAAAGTTGTGGCCAGGAAGAGCATGACTGATAATGATATTAGTGCCATTAAAAAGAAACCAAATACTTTAAACTAGGACAATAAGAAAAATTGCGGGCACCTCAAAAATCAGTAAGATCCAAATCTTTCATTTGAAAAAAGAGTCCCTAAGCATCTTGCTCACATAGCAACCTAAAAAGTTGATTTGCCTCCCCATGTTCAGGCAACCAGACACTCAGAGGCCACTGCAGCTGTGGTCCAAGGTGGTCTGCCTACTGCTCCCACTGGTATCATATTTTGGTATTGTCTTTGAGGAGCTGGTTTTGATGCAGGCATTTAGAATGCAAGAGTTGTAGAAGTGTGAAGGCATCAATGAGATTTCAAAGAAAGCTTAGAAAGCCAGGTAGTATATGGTATGATCAGAGTCCTAGCCAGTGGCCCCCCTGACACAGTAAGGTATGAAGTTGCAAGAGTGAAGCTAAGATACAATAGAGACAAAGAAGTTAGAGGTACAAAGAATATGGAACTCCTACTAAGGAAAGCCGTAGGGACTGAGCAGAACCAGCCAAACCCAGCTGGCAAGGATAAAGGAACAGGGCTACACAAGCTTTTGGAGTTCACATCATGTCACCATTGGCCTAAGTTGCTGAGTATGGAGCTGTAGGATTTGCTATTTGCCTGCTGAATTTCAGTCTTGTTTTTGTCTAAGCCTTCCTCCTATTCTCCTATTCTTCCCTTTTGGAATAGGAATGTTTACTCCTGTGCCATTGTATTTTGTAGGTATATAGCTTTCTTTTTCATTTTGCAGGGGATTGTAACTAGGAGTTTGACTTGAGTCTCAAAGGACATTTTGGGATTGGACTTTTAGTAGTGGTGGAACTGTTAAGACTATGGGATCTCTTGGAGAGGGACTGAATGTACTTTTAAAAATTTGTATTGTACATATTTGTAGTACATAATGATCATATTCCTCATAAGGAGTTGGTATATGTACATAGCATATATTAACCCTTTTAAAATCTGCTCCCTACCTCTATCTCCTCCCTTCCTCTCTTGTTCCTCTTCACTTTTGAAAAGATTTTTCTTCCTATTTCCTATTATTTAGTTTTTATTTTCATCTTTATTATTATTATTTTGAGTTTCTCATATAAGAGGAACCATGCACTATTTAAGCTTGTATGTCTGATTCATTTCACTTCATATTATAGACTCAAGGTGCATTCATTTTTGTAAAAGTGACTCAAGTTTACCATTTTTATAGCAGAGCAGTATTCCACTGTGTAAAATTACCAAATTTTAAGTATCTGTTCATCTGTTGATGGATGTATAGGTCAATTCCAAGATTTAGTTATTGTGAGTTGTGCTGCTATAAACATAGATTTGCTTGTATCATTGTAATGTAATATCTTTAACTCCTTTGGGATTATATCTAAAAGTGGAATGGATGAATTGAATGGAATTACTATTTTTAGTTTTTTTAGGAATTTTCATACAAATTTCCATAATGATTGTACTAGTTTAAATTCTCACCAATAATATAGAAAGGTTCCTTTTTTCTTGCCAACATTTGTTGTTATTATTTGATTTCTTGATGTAGCCATTCTTTCTAGAGAAAGATAGAATCCAAGTGTTTTTTTTATTTGCTTTTTTCTAATGGTCAGAGATGTTGAACATTTTTTCCTATATTTATTTGTACTTCTGAGAAGTGTCTAATTT